TATATTATACATACAGACAGAGAACACGTACGAACATACAGACAACACAGAGAGATGAAATTCGCATTCGCTAAAATATGCTCACCGTTGATATATCTTGATATAGTTTTAATATTTATTTTACGTCATCTCTCAAAGGAGATCGGAGCGTGAAAAGCGTAACATGCACGAGATGTATGAAGTATGTGTGCACGAGAAGTCGAGGGAAAAAAGAGAAAAATGTAGCAAGATTCCGTTCTAGTCATCCCGAATGGTTCGTTGATGCATCATTTCTACGTAGAATTTATTTATCTTTTCTTTTTCTTATTTTCTGAACTGGGGAACTAACAGAGTTTACATAACGTTTACATAACGTTTACATGCATTAACAATGCAGAATTTCCATTCATTTATCAGAAATTTCTACGAGTTTTTGATGAGAAATCAATCACTGAGAAATTCTTTTTGCTCAAAAGAGTGTCTGCAAAATATTCGCAAATGAAAAAGTTAAACTTTAAAGAAGCTATTTCTCTTCATATCTTGATATTAAATCAATATCATCAGGTTGTTTTTCACCCTAGTAAAATAAATTGCAATGTTTACGAAACATTTGGGATTTACTAATGTATCAAGGCACGAAGATAACATTAAACCCGTAAATGTAGTTTCTTTGAAGCAAATAGGAAGTCCTAAAAGTATCATTCAACTTTATGTAAAAAAGATTATGTTAAAAAGCTATAAAGAATTAGATGATGAACGCTATAATTCCTAACTAGATCAAACGTGAACTAATTGAATAAGAGGAATCAAGATATCTTATGTAGAAAAAATTATCATTAATTGCAATTAATTAAACTCTAGATTCAAGGGGAATTAACTTAGAGATTTCATTTACGCGAAATGAGATTCGACGAACTCTTCGATACCTCTCGACATCTCGTGCATGTGCGATTATATCATCGCGCCTTTCGCGAGAGGAAACTTTCCACGCACCGAGCCCTGACTGAATCTGTAAAATTCTCAACGGGAATATTAATAGTCAATTTACTGGTTAGAGGAAGAGAGAAAGAGAGGCCGAAGGAAGAAAGCGTTAGGAATACGTCGTAAGCACTTGTACGAATATTGTAATTAACATGTGTATGAGTGTGCCGGCGCGCGCAGTATTTGCGTCACTGCGCATCGCCGTATAATTGTCCTACCAATGATCGTGTTTGCGTATGGTTTTTCAACGAATTTGTGATATTAAGTTGCGTATCTACAACAGTACATGTCCCCGCGTACTATCGTCGTTCCTCAAAGACTGCGAGCACCGAGCGCGACGACCCAACAAAGCAAAAGTCTTAGAAGATGCCTGAAGAATATTCACGAAAGATTGAAAGCAATATTTCTTAGGCATTTGTTATGCACGTTACACATTGTAATAATAGCTTTTTGTTACGCAACATTGTGGCGACAATACTCATTACAACGCGACAGTTGTTCAACAAAATGTCTTTCTTAAACCATACTAAATTATCAAACAGTTTACGGGAAGTTCACGGAATTTTGAAGTAGAAATAAATTTTTTCGAATTACAACGAATGTCCGACGTAATTTGACCAACGCGTTATGGGACAGCAATAATCCTACCTCGAGCAATAAGTTCGGTAGCAATAGATGCACTTTTGTTCTGAGACCTTTAATTATAATTCATAGTTTTGAACTTATATGATGTGTTTACTATTTAATTTCGTATTAAATTTAATTGAATTATATTTGAGAAGAATGTCTGACATAGAAAGAAAAAAGACGCATCTTTCTTCAGTTAAAAAAAATTTACTTGAGAATCTCTCTTAAGGAAGTAGTTTATATTCGAGAAACAAAGTTTTGTTTATATTTCATAGAAATTTGATTGATTTTAAGGCTACATTTTGTGATCGTACAGGTAAAATGAATTTTGTTTTTAAAAAATCATGCTTTCTCGGTGCCCGCACGTCCAGTTCATCGAATCCTGTCGTTCATCCTAGGTCCCTTAGTTTCTCCAGACATTCCCATCATCGACTCTATCCCGTCAAGTAGATTCTAAGCAGAGACAGTATTTGAATGGGGTTATTGGAGGACGAAAGAATTATCGTTAAGTAACTGTATTGAGTAGCGCGCGAGCGCGCGTCGCGTGTGTGCAGTGGCAAAAAAAAAAAAATAGACAGGCAGCCTAATTATGCGAGTATACACGTCGATGGGGATGCGATCGATCGTTTATTTATTTTAAGTATAAAAAATATCGTCTTTCTAATTTAAGTACAATTAAAATATTTATTTTTAAGATAATGATTCGATTAATTTGTTTACGAAAAAATTTTCCTATCCTAAATTAAAAATTATGTGAAATTGAATTTAACTATTGTATACTTGAATTTACATATTGATCATATCAAGTTTGCACTCTTGTGATTATATAGACTTGATAAAAAAATCTGCGATCGCGTACATCGACGAAGCTCGAAGACCCTTCCATTCGCTCGACCCGTGCACCTCGATCGTTTTAAAAGCGATACACATACATGCTTTGAAAAGCGATACATGCGTTTAAAACGCGTTGACTGGAAAATATATATAACAGCGAAACCTAAAGTTGAGAGACTGCAGAGATTGAAATCGATATCTTGATACTAATATCTTACACAAAGTTCTGAAAAATATTTAAGATATTTAAAACAGATATCTAAAACAGATTTAAAAGATCAATATTTCTTTTAAATATCTCGCGATCCTTTTAAAATTTCCTTACAATATCTTTTACATAACCTGCTTGAGTATATTTTTAATAAACTTATACTCTGATAGACATAAAAATAATCTGTTCAAATTAATTTAACAAACTTACACAAGATTACCATTTATAAAAACAAAATGTTTTTTTTTATATAGTGACAATGTTAAAAATCTTATTATGTGATTACATCGGTTTCAATATTTGCATGAAATCTAAAACATTAATAAGCAAATCGGAAAACTGTCCACGAAACTATCGCTCAAAACAAAAGAAAATGCTCACGAATGTTTTCATTATGCGATTGACTGACTTTAATTGTACTTATATTTAAATTTACGAAAAGACACGCGAATTACGAAACTCATATAATGTTCGGACAAGCAATTTAAATGGAAAAAAGAACACACGACTGTTCGAACAAAAAAAATTAAAATAACGATACGTTCCTTAAATCCATTCCAATGCAATTTTCGCGATATTAATGTTATTAATATTAAAAAATTCGGCTCAAAGTCATTCGTCGTCGTTAAATTAGATTAGTCTATATGCTTGCTTAGTTCGTGCGTGTAATTCCCAAAATTGGCGTTATAATCGAAGGCAAATAAGTTCGAATGTTCCATTTGTAAAACGGGAATTTACCATCTAAGTATGTACTTACGGAATCTTTTAAAAAGATCTCATTTTACAGTACATTTTATCGCAATTGGAGATCACTCTTCGATATATCTCCGGCAGAATAAAAATATGCTCATCCCTCCCCTACATATCCCCAACTTTTTCTGAGCACTGCCTAATCGTGCACAAAAGTACACTTTATAAGCGGGGTACTATAGGGCCGAGCGCGAGCAAACTCGTACATAATTAACACAACCGAATTCTATTCATTTGAAATAAAGAGAGAGTAAAAGACAGAAAAAAGGATGAAGAGAGAAAACGACAAAACTCATTTCACTTTGCGTTTTAAAAAAGACAATAAAGAACACCTCTCGTTTTCGACAAGTCAGCTTTTTCTTATTAGCATCGACTCTATAAACAACTAGTTTTATTATTAAAGATTAGTGTTTTGATAATATTAAATATACGTAGGTTATTAAATTAAAACTATACAATTTATTAAAATTAAACAAAAAGTGTGCAATATTAAAGTCTACTTTTCCTGCTCTTTATATCAAACAATTTTTTCCTGGATTTTAGAAAATATAGAATGTATATTTGAAAACTTTCCATATAGAAGAAATCGATTAAAAATTATCTTATTAGAAAATATATTGCGATGCAAAAGAATAAAAAGAGCCAAGACGCGAATCTTAAAAAATTATCTACTTTCGCAATTTAGAGGAATTTAATATTTAAAAGAGGTGTTCTTTTTAATGTCGTGGATAAATTCAATCAATATTCTTTCACAGCAAAATACAGTTAACGATCGTAGAATAAGATTATGGATTTATTATAAAATCGACTTTATCTGTCGATCGACGGAAAGAAAGATCACTGTAAGATATACATATTATTACATAATGAACACAGCTGCCACTGAACACATCCCGTTAGTACAATTACCGTATATATAATAATAATAATATTAATAATCCGCAGTATACTGGGACACACCGTATTATTAATTGAATTGATATTTATTAATGATTATAATTATTATATTATTACCACTATATTATCTATACCATTTGTACTTTACACTTCAGTTCGAACGAAATAAATGCCTTCTTTTTCATAAAACCGTCGATTAGATGACCAAGACGTACGTTTCATTTCTTAATTAAATTATATTGGATCCTTTACATCAATCATTTATCAAAACATCAATATCGAAAAAAATGTTCAAATTTTTTACAAGTAATCATACACAGAATCTAAAATAACTCTCTAATTCCTTCTAATCACAAATTTTTGATTTTCAGCACGTTTAAAATGCTATCTTCGGCGATTCTTGCTACGGCTATTTCTATGATTGATGTAATGATATCTATCTTCCTTGTTTTTCTTAACTTCTGAAAACTCGCTCCGTATACGTTGCCAAAATTTAGTACCCACATGCGACAGGAAATACATTACTCCATTATCCCTGAATTTTAAGTTACAATAAACAAAATTTGTATTAGCTTCATTTAATCATTTTTTTAAATAAAAGATTTGTATTTTACTATCATTACAAAAATATTAGTAATAAGACGTAATAATTATAAACTCACGTTAGATCTTTGAAATTGACAGCTCTTGTAACGTGAAGAGTAATCAGAAAAATCATTGTTGCTATTCCATTTGTGAGAATTGTCATGAATGATTTAATCGTACCAAATATTAAAAACATTTCAGTTACATTTCCCAATTTTAATTGACTGAGTATCTGCTCACGTTAGTTTTCGGTAAGTATTAAATGTCAACATAATTTTAATACATAATTATTTAAATGTTCACATTAATTTCCAGTAAATATAAATATTAAATATAAATATCCAGTAAATATAAATATTGAAATAGTTAATTATTAAAATAATTTGAATATGCTATTATAATATTGTATTAAAATTAAAATAGATTAATTAATAAATTGTTGCGTTACAGGATAAATTTTCTTTGGCAGTATGCTTAAGATGAGTACATCTATTGGCGTCCATATGCATGCAATTGCAAATTCTAGGAAGAACGCAGTTACTAAAAACTGCAATTAAAATAAAGAGAAAGAAAGAAAAAAGATAGCAATAGAGAAATACAAAAGAAAAAAAGCTGTTAGCTTTCAAATAATAAAAAAATATTTAGCAAAAATATACACTAACCTCATATAAACACATAAAAATAGGTTTCGGTTCTCGGAAAGATTTTGGGAATAACGTGGAATTGACGATAATAATATAGACACTTGTAGCAATTAAAAAAGAAGTAATTGGTGGACTTGACATCAGAGAATAACCAAATTCATCTTCCAAAGCGTTAGCGAAATATGTTTGAAAAATTGATATTTTTAAACTATTGAGCACTAATGCCCATATCGTACATGATAATCGTGTCATTCTTGATAGCAATATTGAATAATCGCAATTCAGATTTGATTTATAGATTATTGCCAATTATGAAAAAAAAGAGAAAAAGCTTGACATTTACAATGAAGTTAGTTTAATAACATTTAATAATTTCTAGTTTATAAGATTAAACATGAACAGTTTTTTAAAATAATTTTATCAAAAATAAGTTGTGTTTGTGTTTAATAGATATATTTATTCAAAAAAGTATCGATATAATGCAATAGACTTACGAAATAATAAACTCATGAAACAATATTTTAAATTCAGCAGTACAATAAATTTCATTTCTTTACAAAGTTAAATTAGTAAAATAAAAAAATTAGTAAAAAAAAAATTACATTTTTTGTAAATATTTATATAATGCAACGCAGATGATTAATGCAATAATAATTTTATAAAATATTACTAATATAAGATATTTATAAACATAAGGACATACAATACAAATGTAGCAGATTAGAAAAAATTATGATTTCTAAAATTTTTTAGAAAAGAATTTATCTGACAGAATCTATAAAAGAATGATTGAGTCACTTCAGGATTGTTGAAGGTAACCTTTTTGCGTTTGGGATGTCTTGGATTCATAAACCGTCTTGTAAAAAGCAAAAAAGGAATTATTGTTAGATTATAATTAAGTTATATTGTTAGAATATAATTGAAGATTATATTAATTCTAATTTTATATAAGGGCATTAAATTAAAATACTTCATTTCAACATTTAACAAACATTTCAAAGTTTAATAACTAATATTTAAAAAACAAAAATCATTTAAATAAAATAAAATATTCTATGATAAAGGATTACAATAAAATAAATTCATATCATAAGTTAAAGATTTACATTTTGTTGAATTTTTTGTTGAATTGAACGAAATTGAATTTAAAATTTCTCTTTATTGGGAATTGTATTTACGAATTGATAAATTGCTTTGTAATTTTATTACATGTCGGACAATTTTGTGAATAAAATTTGAAGTTTTCAGAATTCACTACTTGCTCCACGTATCCAGAAACGTGTCCAGTGATTCGGTGGCGTCTAGCATCCACACAAACGACAATAATGACATGCAAAATGCCATGTACGTGGCTGCATAGTCTCTAGCCATGTAATCCGCAAAGAAAGTTAACCAAGAATAACTATCCAGACCCATAGTACTATTCAACCATAACAACTAAAATAAAATGAAAATATTTCAAAATTCAAAACTTCCATCTACCGGCAATTCCGTTTCTTGCGTGGCAAAAATTTCATATAATTTTATGAACAAAATTTATCAGTAATAATTTTTCGTTTTTAAAAAAACCTGAGTTCAAAAATTAAACAAAATAAAATAAATTGAAAAATAGTATATAGTAATAGCGCATTATATTTTTATTTAGTAAATGCTATACATACCCACTTACTAGATTCTTGAGTTAGACAGAAAATTGCATGCATCATTGGTATCCATACTATTTGGATTGCTAAATTCGTGCTTAATGCAGCTATTAACATCTACATAGTAAAATCAATTCCGAATCAATAGTAATGTTCAATTTGATATTACCTTGCGCACATCAATTATAAAAAAAATTAAAATAAAAAAAATTCTTATTCAATAATTATCTTAATTCAATAACTTTATGCATCTATATTACTTAGCCAAAAAGATATTATATGAAAATATTATATTAAAATCGGTTTCAGAAAATCTGTAAATAATGGCTTCAAAACTCACTTCGTAAATATATAATAGCTGGATTGGTGGTTCTTTAAGAGTTATAGGCCACAGTCTATATTCTGCTAATAAGCACAAAACTGAGAACACAAATAATACTGACGCATATGATGGATCAAAAGGCAAAGCGTTGTCCTCAAAACAGAGACCAATTATGCAGATTTGTCGCAAATGAGTATATAAACCAGTTGCTACTACGGTAATCCAGTGAGGATCTATGAAATTCACATAGTATTTCACAGTTTCCATCTTACATTAACGTACAACAATCTTTTTCAAGAAAGCCTCCTAAAAAAATTTCGTTTGCGTGCTCTTGTCTTCCGTGATAATTTTCTTCACTACGATTTCAGATCAAAATCGCAAGATTGATCAACTAAACCTAAAAGAAATACTTTTAAGAGAAATATATTTAAATAATTAAAAAGCCTGTTTTTAAAATCCAATTTCCATTTTTATTTTAAAGTTTCTATATTTAATTAATTTGCTTATTGTAGTCCAAACATTATAAAATAAAGAAACATTCTAACATACATTAATTAATATCAAATAAGTGAACAAGATAAATGATATCATCATAGATTGTCTTTCAAGATATTAAATGTTATAGTTTGTCTCTCTCACATTACTGAATTATTTTATTACAACAAACCTCGCATCGTGATGAGAAGTGTTGTAAAAAAAAAACGATGACTTTACAAAGTTGTGCAGTTTTTGATAAGATTAAATGCGGTAATTTTTGGTTAATATTTCATTTTTAACATCGAGGACACATGCATGAATATTTGATAATTATATCTTCGCTGATTTTTTCATCAGCACTAAATGTCGATATTCTCAGAGTATTCTCGCTCGAACTGTTAATTTATCATTGCACTATTATCTCAATGTCCACACATCGAATGCTTAGGTTATAAAATTATCCTGTTACGCTGCAAACATCAAGACGTTCATGCATCTGTTTCGCAGAAAATTTAATTTTTTACAAACTTTTTAAATATTTTTAATTAAATTAAATAAATTTAATATTAATTATTAATTAAATTAATCATTTTAATGATTTAATAAATTCACCGTTGTATTAGAAATTATTTTTATTAGAAACAAGAAATTTAATTTTTTAATTATCAAATTTATTAATATAAAGTTAATTCGTTTGTCTAGTTTTTCGCAAGACTGATGATCAAAATTCAATACTTTGAACATTATGCACATTATTTCGTTGGCCTAAATAAACTTTAATATTCTTTAACTTTAAGAATCTAAGATAAATATTAATCCTCATTAAAATCCATTAAAATAATTAAATAATAAAAATAATAAAATAATTAATAATTTATAATTTTAAAAAATATCAGATAAATAGCTTACAAATTTTTCAAATATTTATTTTTTTATCTTACTTAATAGTAAAACATAAATACAATCAATATAAATTTTCTAATTATAATTTTTTATATTCTTTCTTCTTTCAACGATATCAATGTTTTCAATTCGAAATTCAATGTATAAGAAATCGATTTTATTATTCAACACCATTTGTTTTCTTAGCAGCTACTATCGCTAAATGCAATGCATTATGTATGAAAGCGAGTACCATTGTTTCGGAAAGAATAAATCCAGCTATTAGATGAAAATGGTAGCTATTGCGGAGAAAAACGACTACTTCTTTTCATTAAAGTGATAGATCATAGAATAACAGCAGGATAAATATTGTTATACGATATATCCAATGTACAAAAATATCATCATGGAATTTTATGTTTACTCTGATTTGCGTGCGTACGTATATGTGTTATATTTTATATTACAATTTATGTTCACTTAATTTAAGTAGAATATGAACAATCAAAATGTGATAAATACATACAAAATAACTTACATAAATTTCATAATATTTTCAACCTGACTTAGTCATTTACAAAAATTTATGCAGCATTGTATAATTGATCGATTATATCTAAAATGTTATCTATATATCTATATATCTTAGTGCCATTTAATAAATTTGGTCATATGACCAATGTGATTGGTCAATTCTTTCTCTGTCCGAGATCTCGGATGGATTTCTATATTGGACACAAGGCTTTAAGTTAAGAGCACAAACACTTGCATAATGCATTTTAGGCTCTATCACTATTCAAATCATTAACGGCTGCGTTCAACAAAACACAACAGTTTTGCAACCGCTTTATGATTGTCAGCTGAGATAGGATAATTCTTCTAAAGGATAGATCTAAAAGTATAATCTAATCAGCGCAAAGAAAATTTCCAACAGTTACAAAATAAATGTCCTGCTTGAACGCAAACATTATTTACATTCTAACTATAAATTCACATGTTACTCACTTCTACCTTCATCGAACATTTTTCTATTGTATAAACATTCTCATGTTTAGTAATACATACTCTAAGATATTGTACAGGCACTAAAAAAAAGTATGCCAAGTAATTGGATACAGCAGTATTATAATAATATAGAAAATCATAATGCAAAAATTTGTCCTTACATTACATTAATGACATATTAACTGTAAAAGTACACTTACTTCATTGCTCATAAAATATTTCATGATGAAGACACGGATTGTAGAAATGGTCCGAAGGCGTTATTTCACAGAAGAAGAAAGATACACTTCAAAATATAAAATTTGTGATAAATATCTTTCAAGAGGATATTTAATACGCAATTTAAAAGATCTTAAATATAAGCATTCACAAATAATAGAAAAAATACAAAAAGAATTTGATATCACATTCGTGGATATCCGCACATTTCAAACACATCAGATGATAAAATAAAATGTAAAATCTGTTCTTATCCATTTAATGTACTGCAAAATGATATAAATGGTTTAGCGTGCCATTTGGTCAAGCATGGCTTAAATAAAAAAAGTACTGGCGAAAATAACATACAAAGAAATAACGAAAAGAAAAATTTGGATATGACAAAATTATAATAAATTTCAGAATCATAGGATACAATATAACCATGTAACATTTGCCATAAAAATTATTCTCAGTACAATTTAAAGACACTGAAAGTACATTTATTTTATGCTCATCAAATATGTCTTAACGAAGAAATAAACAAACAAAATAACCAAAGTAGTTTAATATGGCAATATTTCAAAAAAGAAAAAAAATATACTTCAAAATGTAAAATTTATAATTCTTCCCTTACATATTTAATACAAAGGATTTAAAGCAACATATAAAACGGAAACATCACTAGTAATCCGAAATAAATTTAAACATTCGTGGGTATCGGAAAATTTTACAAATGATAAAGTACAATGCAAGATTTCTTGTACAATGTAAGAAGTTTGACATACTTAAACATAAAATAAGTGATTTAACGAATCACTTGTTCAAAGCATGACATAAATAAAAAATCTTGAGAAAATACTGGAAAAAATGACATGAATATGAATCATCAATCAGAAGAAAATAACAAGTAACTTCTCATCAGATTGATAGACATACTCACATTTGAAAAAATAAAACGGTAAAAATGACAATAGTAAATATTACAAATGATTGTTTTCCTCTTTTAATCGCCCATTTATGCATTCATAAAGATTATAAAAATTTAACTTTAATATTTAAAATGTGTATTTTATAAATTTTATCAATATTTCAGTTAAGTAATTCCATTTAGTCAATATCAAGGTCAAATGATACAATATATTTAATACTTAAATATTTAATAACTGATGACTATTCAACCAATTTATCTATTGGTGTAATTTTAGAGTCAAGCATTTTTTTATTTCCAATAGTATTCGATACTAAATATTCGACTTTTTAAATATTTAAATAATAAGAATTCTAGCTTTAATGCGATTATAATATGTACTTGAGTGAGAAATTTAACCTTGTAGTACTAATCACAACAACATATTCCAACTTTTTAATCTGTTATTTATTTCGTCTATTTGCAGATTCAATTTTGAATAGGATAATAGAAATTCCCAATAGATTTTGAACACAATATATGAAGAAGCATCAGCAGTTTCAACTAATTGTTTCAACTAATTGGAATTATTGAATGAACTGGCACGTTTGACGAATTAAATATTAACTTTCCAATAAGCGTACTGTTTATTAATTATATTATTAATTATTTATAATGTTAATTATTATGTAAATAGTTGAATTTTTTCAACATATTAATGTTTTATACATCTGATATAATGTTTGTATTAGGACTATAAATATCCAAATATTATACTCAAATCGTTCGAAATAATTATTGTTATTCACAAAAATTCGAATTATTTGAATGATTCAAATATTAACATCCAAAAACAAAATCTGAAGATTTATTATTTACAGGAGCTGTTAATTTCGAGAATAGAAAACAAATTGTAAAATATGATATGTCATAGTTTTTAAGGATTCGAATGATCCAGAGAATTAATCATAAAAAATTAACGGTGAATTAATATTCGAATATTCTAATATTAAAATTTGAATAATATATGTATGTTATAGTATAATATTTGCTTGATCCGTTTTATTTATCTTATATGAAATATGTCATTATATATATATTGGGTTGTCCGGAAAGTTCGTGCCGATTTTTGGTATGTGGCGTAAGGACAGGTCTGAATATATCAGAACGATTGAAAACAAATGACATGCGTACATATCGTAAAAGACGGTACTTCAGGCATACTTGGAAAAAAATTTGGTTGCGATACGTTAATTTTTGTCAGTTTTATACGCCTTTGAATATGGAAGAAAACAAAGTGCATTTTAGGCATTTAATGCTTTTCTTTTAAAGGAAAGACAAAAATGCCATACAAGCGGCAAACAAGATATACGCTGTTTATGGCGAAGGTGCTGTATCTGAAAGAATTATGCGGAAGTGATTTGCTAGGTTTAAAGCTGGTGATTTCAACCTTGAAGATCAAGAACGCCCGGATAAGCCCTCCACCACAGATGAAGATCAGATTAAAACACTGATCGAGAATAACCCACGTTATATAAATATAACGACATATAAATTAGCAAAAATGTTGAATATGTCAAAATCCACCATCCACGAGCATTTTGTGAAGTTTGGCTACATAAACCGTTTTGATGTATGGGTTCCCCACGATTTAACGGAGAAAAATCTAATGGATCCATTTGAGACTCGCTCTATAAACGCAACGAGGAGACACCATTTTTGAAGCAAGTAGTGACGGGGGATGAAAAATGGATCATTTACAATAATGTTGAGCGAAAAAAAGATCTTGGGGAGA